GGGGCAGCGATGTTTACACCATGTGAATCCCCAAGCAGCCTTGATGTGCCTTCTCTGTCCCTGCAGTTCCTACTCTGCTAAAATACATGGGCAGCCAATGGTAGTGCTGCACTCTCCCTCCCAGCCAATAGCAGCTGGGGGGGAAGAGACAGGTGGCTGCTGACTGCCGAGGAGCCCGTACAGTGAAACGGGCAGGCAGCAAAATGTATTTTCCTTCAGCAGAGAGGGGATAAAAAGAGATTGCTGTAGCGGCAGAGGCCGTTTTAACGGGGAATCAGCGTGGGGCACATGGGGGGGAAGAACTAACCTGGGGGAGGCAATTGCCTGAACAAGGAAGACGATAATTCTACAAAACATTCCAAAGGTAAATTTTGCACAGGTAAACTAAAAGTGACATTAAAAAGGATACATTTTTTCCCTACCCCCCAATGTTACTGTTAGCACTTACCTTAAAAGGAGAACTATGGGGTTAAGGCTTTTCCCCATAGTTCTCCTTAGGGTAACCCTTAGGGTCACCCTAGGCTCAGTATACCGTGAGCTGTAGCTCGCGGTATACTGAGACGCCGCAGTATACCGCGAGCAGCTGCTTGCGGTATACTGAGACGCCGCAGCTGAAGAAGATCCGGACAATTGTGCCGGGATGTGCCCAGCTGCGTGACTGACAGCTGGCTCTGCCTATCTAGAGGCAGAGCCAGCTGTACCCGCCCCCTCCCCCGTCCGTTACGCCAGTCAGCGCTGGCGGATCGGAGCGGGGAGGGGGGAATCCAGCCCCTCCCCTGTCAAGGCAGAGAGCCGTGACAGGATTGAGAAGTGAGTGAACGCCGGTATGTGTTCGCTCACCTCCCGATCTACTGAGCCGACCTGTGACAGGCTCATTGTCACAGGTTGGCTAGAACTATGAGGTGAGTGAAAAGCACTCACCTCATAGTTCTCCTTTAAATGATGTCTCTTAATCCGATCTTCTTTCCTGATGTTTTCATCTGTCCCTCCAGCGGTGCGGCGGCTCTCCGATCCAGCGCTGACTCCTCTCTGCTTGCTGGCACTTCTGATCCCACAGTGTCTGCATGCGGGTGCACGCATCCATAGACTTACCTTGCGTCTCTGCTCGTCTACTGGCCGAGAATCCGAACTGCGCATGCGCCCGCCCCAAGATGCTTTGCGTCCGTCCGAACAGTTTCATTTTCTCGGGCGGGAGCGCGCAGCGAAAATAAGGTAAGTTTAAACCGCTGTTAAAGCAGGTTTTTTTTTTTAAACTGTTTGCCTATATCTACTGATTGATAGCAGTAGATATAGGCAAAAAAGCGTGAGGGTTTTGAACCCCTTTAAATATAGTCACAGCGATATATTGCACAGCCTAGTGACACAATCTTACTGAAACAACCCCAGTACCAAGCAGACCAGATAGTAAGTGTAATGCAAACAATCTGATTATATAAACCCAGCAAAAACGAAGGGGCCACTATGGGACCCAACCTGGTTGGAAGTCTGGGGAAGGTGAGAGTAGGGAAAATTCCAACCTTCCTCAGAGACAAAAACTTGAAGAAAGAAACAAGAGTCCACATGGGGGAGTAAAAAGATGGAGAGAAAAAATGTAAACAAACAACCAAGAGGAGGGAGAGAAAAAGAAGGGGAAAAGGAAGGTGAGGATAGGGGGCAGTGGTGGGGGGGAGGGGAGAGATCCCACTCCTAACTGAACTCGCAGCTCACAACAATAGTAAAAGTTGAATTAATCTCAAACAATGCCCGTGCAGACAAGATATTGTCTTTTAGCCCAAAAGGCATCAAGATGTCAAGTACTAAAAATATTGATCAGTGGCTCTAAAGAAATCACAGGATCTCCATGTAGAGTTAAACTTCTCTTCTGAAATATTCAAGCAGGCAGTGAGGTCTTCCATAGCATGAAATATTGTTAATCTTACAAAACCACAACTGAACAGAAGGGGGATATTGTGACTTCCACAATAGTGGGATGCAAGTCCTATCCGCATTGATCAAGTGCCCTGTTAGGGAAGAATTATATTTGGAAAGGGATCTCTAAGTAAGCTGCAAGAGACAGGCTACAGGATTGTCTCTTGAATCTACCATGGTCAGTTGGGCCACCACCTCATGTACTGATTCCCAGAACACCTTCAGCTTTGGGCAAGGCCAGCAAATATGCAACATCGTACCAGGGGTGGACGCGCATCTCCAGCACAGGTGGGAAATAGAGTTGTTCCTCTTGTGTAGTAGCCACAAGACTTTATACAATCTCATGAGAATTTTATATCCCATTTCCTGGTATCCATTAGCTACAGAAGATTTACGTACTATAGGATATTATCACGTTGGAGAGCTATAAACTCAAGATTCAATTCTGCCTCCCACTTAGATAAAAAAGGACAGGTGAAAATGCGGGGGGACAGTAATAGCTTATACACTGAGTGGCCAGATTATTATGACCTCCCCATCAGTACTTCGTTGGGCCACATTTTGCCTTCAATACTGGCCTTCGGCTTCCATATCCCATACGATGCAGTGTATGGCGAACAGTGGGTTCAGAGATCATTTGAGAGGATGCCCTTCTGTTATCTTGTACCAATCTTGCCACTCTCTGTTCTGCCCTAACATTGACTAGTCGCTGACGGCCACAATTCGCACGTTCAGACCCAGATTTTCGGCTGACAGTCTAGTCTTTAAACACTTTAACAGCTGCTCTTGAACATTTAATGAATTCTGCTGTTTTGCTGATACTCGCTCCATGGCTCCGAGCGCCAACAATCATGCCATGTTCAAAGGCTGTTAAATTGCGTTGTTTACCCATATCTTCAGAAAAAAAAAATCACTTCTACTGTTGTGGTTAACAACCTACTAACCTATTTATGATGGTCTGGCCCTCTAGCAACTTCAGCGCGAAATTATAGCTAATTTGCCTACAAAACGTCAGGTGGTCATAATAATCTGGTCACTCAGTGTATATCGTAAATATGGCATGATGAGAAGGAATTCTCCCCCTTCACATCTTGAAAAGTTGTAAAAGGTCTATCTAAATCTGCCAAGATCTCTCTCAAAAAGTGTCTAAGCCAGGGGTCCTCAAACTTTTTAAACATGGGGCCAGTTCACTGTCCCTCAGACATTGCTAGGGGCCGGATCATAGTTTGAAAAACCGGGGGGGGGGCGTGGCTGTGGTGCCACACCACCACACCCCCTCCCGTCCCAGAACAAAGGGGGAACGTTAGTGAGCAATTGCTGTGCGTTCCAGCAGCTGCTGCTCTGGTGTTAATAGAAAAACAAAGAAAGAAGCGCTACAACCCTAGGATTCTTATTGTTAAACAGTTTGGAAACTTTGTATAAATCTCGATGCAGACTCACTTTTGGACGGACGAGGTGGTGTCTTGCCGTTGAAGAGTGAGGGCTGTATGTCGGCTTGGATCGCAGGGCGGCATCTATGGCTGGTCTGTGTGGATGTCAGCACCGGGCAACACGGCTTCTAATGGGTCCATGGGTGTTGAGGGGTG